ATAATATTAAATATAATATTTTATATTTTATTTAATTTCAAAAAAATATTATCTAAAAAATAATCGAGCATATAAAATTATTTAGATAAAAAATTGTTTTTATGTACAAAATATTAATTGATAATAAAATTAAAATATAAAATATAAAAAATATAATCTCTAATATAATTCTAAAATTATAAAACAATGAAAATATAAGATATCGGGTAACTTTAATCATGTTAATTATAATTTTAATTCTAACTTTTTAACTTCTAACTTTTGTAAAAAGATTGTTTATAATTCAATATCAAAATATAATATGCATATATCAATTGATTAAAATATTAAAACATGAGGAAATGCTTTCAAAGATTTAGTTTCCAAATTAGATTAATTTAATGTGGAATAATTAAAGAAATTTTGATATTAAAGAAATAAAAATATAATTTTAAAGATGAGAAAAATTATAAAAAAAAAACTTATGCATAAAATATAAACATAGAATATGATAGTGACAAGCATACCTTTATCCTAGATACAGCTTCTTCTGCTTGGCACATACGTGTAGATTTGGTAGGCTCTCCTTCACAAACAAGTTGAGTAGATCCCAGATATCGAGCTCGAAACAACACTCCTTCAATTAAGACTGAAGAATCGTTGAGAAGAGCTGAAATATTCACAGAAATTTATCAATTAGACTTTATATGTTTCATTATTCAAATTATTTATAAAATTATTTTATAAATTAATTTTATAAATATTATTTATAAAATTTATGTTTTATATTACAAATAGTAAAGAAATTTAAAAATTAAAACTTGAAGAAATTTAATCGAAGATATATGAATTGGAATAGATATACAGGATAGTTCATCAGATACTATTATCTAGATTTTTATCGTTATTATTATCTATAAAAAATGTTTCATATAGAATTGAATAGCTTCAGAAGATATATATTTTGGTGATAATAATTCTTTTGTAAATGGAAAGATATAAAGGTCAGTAATATTTTTAATAGGATCATATTTTTTATTATATATAAAAAAAAAATATCAATTATAATTTGATATTTTCTTTTTATAAAAAAAATATATTAACGTATTTATATATCTAAAATATGTCCAATCATTAATTTAAGAGATATTTTAATTTGAAATTTGTAAAATTTACTATATAAAAATCAAAAAATACGCGAAATGATATTCTATTATTCATGTTTTCTTTGGTTATTATATTATATTATATTATATTAAGTTTCTTCTTTATAATTGTAATAAATTTTACAAATTTCAAATTAAAATATTCTAAATAAATATTCTAATAATTTTTATTTTTTATTTTAAATTTTTTTTAATAGAAAATATCAGGTTATATCAAATGATGCAATAAAAAAATAATCTCATTTAAAAGAATATTAATGACTTTTATATATTTTCTATGTTTAAAAAAATTTCGTAATATTAGAGTATCTCTTTTCTTAAATTATTCAATTCTATTTAAAAAATTTTTTACTATCAATAATAAAATGATAATATTTGAGCCATCCTGTACAAATTTTTTTTTATTATTATTAATACAATATTCGAGAGAATCTCGATTATTCAAACTAATCTTTCAAACTAATCTATTCAAACAAAATCATAAAATAATCAACAAATAATAAACAATAATTTTACGAATAATTGGATGATTCACATGACTATATATGAAAAATTATAATTTTTTATATATTACTTTTTTTTTATTCATATTTATTCATATTGCATATATATATATATATATTTTAACGATTTTTGTCTTAATCTTTTTAAATTGCTAAATTGTAAAATTCTTGTCTAATACTTTTCAAATTTAATAATATTTTCGCGAAAATGTTTCTTGTTTCATACTAATAATTATCTCTAATATAATGAATATTTCAGAATGCACGAGAATATTATTTAGGTATTATCTTTAGGTATTATATTTTTTATTATTCTCTTCGTTTAGAAATCTTTCAATATTCTTTTTTTCAATATTCAATATTCTTTTCTTTCAATATTATTTTTTCAATAATTTTGTTTATTATTTATATCATTCTTTAAGCTATTACATCACTTTTATTATAATTTGTATATCTTAATATTTATATCCATAAATTTTTATAAAAATAATCAGATAATTAAGGTTTAGATAATTGAGGTTCTACTATATATATATACTTTATTTATATTATTATATATATATAGTTATTATCACTTATATAACTATTGCCACTTACCGATTATATGCAGCAGGAATGCAGCAAATGAAAAACAATTTTTTTAGATATTAATATCATGAATTAAGACGAATAAGTAGACGGAGTATTCTTTAATAAATATTAGATATCTAATACTATATTAACAATATTTTTGAAACTAGCAGATAAGATAAGATCGTTAACTACAAAAAAAATAAAGAAGATTAAATGAAAAATATTAAGATTCTAACGATTTTAATTATATAATATATATATCTGCATATATTATAAATAAATTGATCAATCTCTGTTTTATAAAAAATATATTGCATTGCAAACATAAAAATTATTCTATTTAATAAATTATAGTAAGTAAAATTACATATTGATTAAAATGTGTTATTATATTTTGTATTATTGTTATTATTTTTATTTCTTTTGTAATATTGACTAATGAATATTCTATAAATATTTATTTTTCTTTAATGATTTGATTTATCTTCTGATTTCCAAAACTACCTCTGTTATGATGTTATGAATGCTTTAAAATGCATGAAAAATATTTATATAATATTATTTGAAGATATATTGTTTTCTTCATTGCTCTCTTCTTATTACAAGAGAATAAAAATTTCAAGTTTGTATCTTTGAATAGAAAAATTTTTTATATTCTGATTTTGATTATTTACTTTATAATGAATATTCGAAAAAAAAATAAAAATTAAAATAAAAAAAAAATAAAAAAAAATTGATTTCTACAATCAAGATTAATTTAATATCTCTATAATTAATTTTAAAATTAGAAAAAATGAATGAAGATTAGATTTAATATTATAGATTTAAAACTATAAAAAATATACTCATAAATTTTATGACTAAACTATATTAATATATTTATGATCATTGTAAATTATATTGAAAATATTGAAAATCAAGATATAGATTGTGTCTTAATTTGAACATTTAATATTAAATGTTACTTTGTAACTTCTCAAAATTATATACCAAAATTTCATGTTAATTTAAATTACTAATACAATAATATTAATTATTTTATTACTTTATTTTGATGTTTGTTAATTTATTTATATAAATAAAGCAGAATAGAAAATACATATAGAAAATACAATAATATATTTTTTTCTATTCATTTAAAAAAATTCTAAATGTCTGGCAATAGAGATATCATTGTATTATTTAAATCTTAAATTTTAATTAATTGTATTAAAATAAATGATTTTTATTGAAATTTTAAATTATGTACTTAAGAAATATAATAAATTATTAAATATAATAAATTATATTAAATATCAACACTAGATTATTATATGTAATATTTAATATTTAATATTACATGTAATATTACATGTATACATAATAGTAAAAATTTTAATTTTTAT